ATATAATCATCATGAACTGAAGTTGGCGGCACACTGTCCACATCCCAGCATATAATCATCATCAACTGAAGCTGGCGGCACACTGTCCACATCCCTGCATATAATCATCTGGAGTTGGCGACACTCTCACCACGTCCCAACAAATGCTGAGGGCACACTGGCCACGTCTCAGCATGTCTAGGCTGATGCTAGACGGCTCTCGGGCCTCGCCTCATCACTCTGCCCGAACTCGGAATCAAATCTGCATCTCTAAGTATGAATTTTCGGAGCCGGGAGTCGGATACTATACCATGGGATCTCGTACCATCCATCTCTGCTAACTCATAGGCCTTGCATTCAACCTCTCTGATGATCCTGAATGGTCCCATCCACCTGACCTCCAATCTCTTGGTCCACTGTGTCTCGAGAAATGTATCATGCAGAAGTACAATATCTCCGACCTGAAGTCGTTCCTTCCTGATGTACCTCTTGCTGTTCCACCGGATCTGATCAGATATTTAGTTGTTTGACATCCTCTTTGTGGCCTCAATTATGGTCTCGTCCACGTCCTTGATCTGCTTGATCCTCAACCTCAGTAACTCCTCTATGGAGTACGACTCTCTCTGTGCCTCATGGGTCCAGGTCTCAACCAGGTTCTCAATGGGAGATGTAGCATATCTGCCATACCATAGTGTAATAGGTGCATATCCTGTAGTCGGTTTGACAGTCACATTGTCAGCATACATAGTAGCCCTCAAGAAAGATGGCCAGTTCCTGGAGTCGCCTTGGCATCATTTTGATATAGCATCTTTAGTGTCCTGTGACCTCTCTCCACTGGTGCATTAGCCTAAGGATGATATGGTGTCACAAATCTGATCCTGACTCCAAGTCTGAACATGAGTCTCCTGACCATCTCGTTTTTGAACTCTGATCCCTGGTCAGCCACAAACTCACGTATGAAGGGGTACCTCAAGTAGATTTTCTCGATCCAATCTGCCACTGTCTTTGAAGTTTTTTTACGGATGACTTTTGCTTCAACATAAGCAGACATGTTATCTCTCATGTTTAGTACATATTTCATTCCATCCTTACCAGGTGGCATAGTAATTAGATCAAGGTGAACAGTACTGCCAGGTTCAACAAGAATAGTGGGGTATAAGGATTCAATCAATCTCATAGATGATCTTTTTTGACATGCTTCACATGACTTACAATATCTCATAGCCTTATCCCTTAGACCATCCTAGTGATATAATCGAGATACTTTATAGTATGTAGCTTCAGCACCCCTATGACCCCCTGCTAGACCCTCATGCAGTGCGGCGATCACCTCTAGTTGCCTTTCCTTACCACACACTACTCTAAGTGGCGGTAGTCCTTCCTTAGCATCTACAAAAAGGTGACCCCTACGCAGCCTAAAGGTTCTCTTTGTTTTCTCATGGTAAAATTCGTCCAACTGATTACTGTTCATTACTATACCGATCCTCTTATAATCCCCGTCATACTCATCCTTCCTAAATCTCTCTTCAACGTCCTTATCTTACTCAGGGTCTTCCGGCTCATCCTCTATCTCATTCAGCCTTCGTTCAGTCATCCTTGAACTTTCTGCTAGCTCAAGAGCTGCAACAGCAGCTTGTTCTGCCATCCCATACCATCCTTCCTCCTCATCCTCTTGAGTTAGAAGGTAATGGAGGTAAGGGTCTTCCTTTTCTCCCCAGCAGTCTTCTTTGCTCGTTACTATGGCTGAAGCTGTATAACAACTGGGAGCTGGAGGTAATCCTTCATCATCGTCTTCCATAAGGAATTCGTCAACGAAGGGTGCCTCCTCAAGAGATTCATCATCTATTGATCCCCATTCTACGCGGCTCAATCCATCGGCTCGATTCTTTTCAGTAGGTAGCTTCTCTAATACAAAATCATACGTCCATATGTGAGTTATCCACCTACTGACCGTAACATCTACTTGCTGATGCCCTTTAACAGCTCCGATTACCGCTGTGAAATCCGTTCTTAGAATGAATCTCCTGCCCATAACATAGTGTCTAAACACCCTGAGACAGTGCAGAATCGCCAGAAGTTCCTGACTGAACTGAATATAGCCTCTCTCTACCGAATTAAGGGTGCGACTCTCAAATCTAAGTGGCATTTCTTTACCATTCTCATTTCGTTGCACGAGCACCCCTATTAGTGCTATTGGGTCGCCGTCAGCTTCGATGATGAAAGACCTCTCCCTTTCATCGTCGAAGTAGGATACACCTCATACGACCCCGCCATCTCTTAGCTTATCTTGAAGTACCCGCGCAGCCTTCTCTCTTTGGTCAGACCACTCTAAGCTAACTCCTTGTCGCACCATTTCTCTAAGAGGTTCGGCTATCTTGGCAAACCCGGGGATGAAGATCCGCCAGAAACTGCAAACACCCCTAGGAAGCTCCTTACTTCCCCAACCGTTTTTAGAGGCATAGGCCAGTTTAGGAGTTTATCCACCTTCTTCGGATCGGGGCTCCTTCCTTCCAAGAAGCACCTAAAACCCAAGATCGTTACTTCCCTTTGGAACAGTAGTGATTTCAGCCCCCTGGCTGTTAGGTTGTATTTAGCCAACCTTTCTAGTACCTTCGCTACTCCCTGTGCATGTTCCCATACGAACTGCCTGACTCGACCATCCACTAAAGTCTCATCTTTTTCCTTCGGTCCTTTAACTGGATTGTCATCAATGTATGGGAATGTAACCTCTGGGCATATGTCCTTCATGACCTTCAGCATGTCTCGCTGGACGACCGCGACCCGATTCGTCCACCCTTGAGGCACCACACACATTTGTATGAGGCCTCTAGGTGTATGCATGACAGTCATAGGTCGACTAGTAGAATCTATTGGAAACTGGTCATAGCCAGAGTACAAGTCTACTAGGGAGTAAATGCTTCTTCCAGCGAAAGACTCGGCCAACAGATCTGCGTTGGGTAAGCTACTCGCATCGGGAACCGTTACCAAATTCAACTTTTGCAAGTTCTGTATCCAGCGCAGGCCACCACCTGGCTTCCAAAAGCAAAACCAGTGATTGGCGTAAGCTCCATCAGCTGGTTCCGCAACGTTGGAGGCGATCTTCTGGTTTATGTACTCCATTATCTTTTTTTCTTCCTTTTGGGCATATTTCATGGGTCTGTCATTCCAAGGCATGTGAGGAACTGTCCAGATCTTGACCATCTTGATCATGTCAACGTCCAGTCGTCCCCTCTCCTCATCATTAAAGGAAAAGGCACCACTGTACCTCTGACATAATTCATATATGAAATCCCTCTCAGCCGGGAAAAGTTAGTCATCGGCTCCTACCTTCATTATCTTGAACTTTTCTGAGGTAATTCTCCCTCCTTTTAATGCAGCCTCTCTTAATCTTTTAATTATTTTTCTCTCCTTCTCCAATGCCTCACTGTAGTCTTTCTCTATCAGAACGGCCATCGGATTCTTCTTAACGCCTTTGCGCTTATACTTCCTCTTAGACCCGGTGACTATTTTCCTAAAAAAGGCCCAGTCGCAGAGAAGGTGAGCTGCATCGTGCCCGCTTTGGCTGCCCTCACAGCATCCTTGAATCCTTTTATCTCTCGCTTATCGCCCGACTCCTTCTCTTTATCCAGGAGCTTGAACGTCTTCCCGATATCATATACTCTAATCGTGGTCTTCTCGTCTATTATTCCACTTTCTTTCAGTTTTGCTCGTACTTCCTCAATCAACTTGTCAGATTCGCCATGCCTAAGAGAGTTAACATGTCGCTGATGACGAGGATGATACCTATCACTTATCACAAAAGCCTGTTCTTGGTCAGTATTAGAGTCCTGGAGAGAGAGTCAGGCTGCCCCATCATGGCCGAAGAACGCACAAGCCTCCATTCTATGTAGGAAAGGGACTCTGAGAATGCAGTCATGATCCAAGTTGGGGACCACAAAACAGAGGATCTCGGCCCGTAAAGTCCCAATCCGGATGGGCAGATCATCAATGAATCCTTCCAATGGCAGAAATCCGGCTATAGTGGAGAGCTGGTGGCTGGCTTTCCTATCTATTCCAAGTCCACATGATCTCATTGTGGCTGAGGACATAAGCACCATCTCAGCCCCAGAGTCCACTAGGGCTCTAACCTTCACGTCATTCACGTAGATATTCAAGTATCCACACGCCATGTTACCAAACCTCATCTTGGTATTAGGCGGGGCTCTTTCCACATGCTGAGGAAAGAGTCTTAGGCTATTGATTTCTACCTTCCGCCTTTCAACCATCTTTTTAAGTTCTTCTCTAAACTTAGGTACCAAGGCTACTGCTTCTTTCCAGGATAGGGTGATCTCGGTCTCCTCGAGTAATTTCTTTACTACTTCATTTATCGAGATCCCTTCCTCGGCTTCGGATCTCAAGACTACCCTTCTCTTCTTCCCGGCAACTTCCTTTCCTTTTCCTTCCTTCACTAGGTCCTTGGTCCCATCTATCAGCTGGTCTAACTCTCTTTGAGCCTTCTCTCGCCTTTTCTCTTCGACCTTTTTTTGGCTGATATGGGATACATTCAGATTTTGACTTCAAGGATTGTCGTCTCGAGCCACTATCTCCGGAGGTAGCATACCATCAAAGGTGATAACATTAACTCTAGTCTTCTTCTTTTTATCCTTATTGGCCCTAGCCTGTTCTAGGATAACTGCTCGCATCCCTCCTTTGACTCGAAAGTCTATCTTGTTCCAATTGGCATCACAGACGTGCCCATTGGCATTCTTCTTGATAATCGCTTCTTCGAGTCCTTCTCTAGTATAGGGCATCGAGTTATAGTATGACCTTCCTCGTCACAATAATAACATCGGAAGGGGTCATCTCTCTTTTGCAAATTTCGGCTCTTATTATCTTTCTTCCAATCCCGGTCGCGTTTTTTCTTTTGCCTCTCTTTTCTCCTTCGCCTATCATCTTCCTCATCACTACTCTCGCTCTCACTCTCACTCTCTTCCTTTTGCTTCTTCTTCTTTCTTTCTTCCTTACCTTCTTCGGCTCCGATTAAAGCTTGAGTTGCAGGGGCAGGAAGGGTTAACTTCTCGAAGCTACCAAGCTTAACGAGAAGACCAAGGATCTCCTCGACCTTCAAGTTTTCGCCCGCAGCTGCCTCCACATTTCCCTCTCTTGCACTAGTGATTGCTTTCATCTGCTCCAGAGACCATTTCCGGTTTGACGCCGAAGGTAGCTCACGGACCATTTCTACTACTTCATCCCACTTCAGAGGGTAATGGGCAGCGCGGCTTACCACACTCTTTCTTTCATCCTCTGCAAAATTAGTTAGCAGAACATGACACTTCTGGGCCTCAACTAAGAAGGGTACTCTCGCGCAACCCGCTCAAAATCCTCTAGGAACTGATCGAGGGTTGCATACTTAGAATGTCGCACTTCCAACAAATTTTGCATGGTCGTTGGGACGTCATACTTCGTGTATTCTTCCAGCATCTTTTGCTTAACCTCGACCCATGTTGTTAGCACTTGTGTCGTTTTTGTCACTGACACCCTCATCTTTGGTTCAACATAGACCAGCAGAGCTTTCAACTTCTGCTTGTACGACCATCCGTGGCTCATACCGAAGACATCATAATCCTCCAAGAACTCCCTAATCTTGGTTCCATCAAAGCAGGGTATGTTCTCTGGAGGTACCTTGGCTCTCGGAAGATCTAACCGGACATTCATAGTGTCCATCCCGGTCTTCATGGCCTCTATCCTGTTCAACATTTCTTGTAGAACAGCGGTAGTGGTCACTTATCCGTCCCCAGCGGAGGAACTAGCACGGTTCTGCCGTGCGTGTGGTCCTCTGACCATCTTGTCTAGCTTACTAGTCAAGCTCCTAATTCTTCCTAAGCCTTTTCTCTCTTTGGATTGCGTTCAAAATTGGTTTCCAGTTTCTACCGTCAGTAAAACTTTTCGGCAAAACTGATTCGGGGAACCTGTCAAACACAATCGGAGCTAGGTCATTCACTACTCTTGCTCCTTTCTTTCTAACTCTCTCTTTTCTTGACGAACTATATCACTAATCCAGCTCCGAAGGACTCGCGATCGGTCCCTCTCTCCCTCAATGAGGGAATATAGGGCCGGATATCGTATTCATCAATGTCAAGAAACTTCACTACAAGGATATACGTCTTCTCAGGTGCATGTTTCTTCTCCAGGGATATGCAGCGCTCTATCTTGTACGGGAAAGCTCCTCGACTGGTAAAGGAACCAAGGCATCTAGTGCTGCTGTGATTGCCGGACATTATCAGACATTGCCTAGTCCCTAGCGACCCCCATGATCCTTCTTTGTCTCCGATCCGTCTAATCCCATCCAGTGCCTGAATCGCCAATGTTGACACTGCTCTACTTCCTATCTCTCAAAACGGCATTAAGGATAGGCTCCCAGTCCTCACCATTGACGAAGCTATCTGGAATAGGAGGACTTGGAAAACCCTCGTACTCAGTAGGCTCCACACTCCAGGTAACTTTCTTACCCTCATTCTCGAGTTCGTCTCTGTATTTACATACGTGACTAAGTGTCCACTCGTGACACCCAGTATACCGCCGCCAAATCTTCCTAGTCACTGGAGTGTATATACGCACGTCATATTCATTGGTCTCTAGGAAGCGAGCAACTAACACATACACTTTCTCCTCTGCCTCAGGTATGGCTAAGACAGTGTATCTCTCAATCTTATAAGGAAATGCCCCTCCTGCCGTGAGGGGCTCTAAATCCTTGAGTAAGCGCGAGATGACCGAAGAATTAATATCTGGTAGTTCCCTTCCTTCAGCCTTCTCCCAACTATGCTTGCTTCCTAGGAAACCCGCATACTCCTCAGCCATAACAAGCTCCTTTCCATTGTCAGGTGAGGAAAAATTCAGGAGAAGCTTCGTCCTGAACTTCAAACCGACATATAAAGGTATCGGAAAACAGAGTCTTTGGTCGCATGACTAGGTCATTTTCTCTTGCCTTACCAACCACGACAATAGCTTCTAGAAGAGGCGCCCAGTCTCTCCTATCAGCGAAGCTATCCGTAGTCAGAAAACCAGGGAGTCTTTCAAATTGTCAGACTCGTTTTCCCCAAGTCACTTTCTCATGCAAGTTTCGAAGCAGTTCCCTTATCCTCGAGAGGTGAATGTACACTCTCCTCAGACACTCTAAATAGTCTTCTACCTCTTTTATTTCTTCCTGAGCATAAACCCTCACGTCAAGCTCGTCGGTCTTGAAAAATCTGACGACTGGAACATAGAATACTAAACGTCCTTCCTTACAGACGTCGTGTCTCAATATCTCGAACGGACTGTCTGTCTCAGTTACTTTATCTAACCATCCTCTACCAATGGTCACAGTCGCAATTGACATAGAGTTTTCACATTCCAGTATCATTGCCTTGGGCTGCCTTTAGGGCCTCTCGCCAGACTGTCCGTAGGACGCTGTCTAGATAGGATGGTATCATCTCTCGCATGTAGCATCACTCTCCTGCCATCCGAACTCTTGCAATCCAGCAAATGCCCCATCTTAGTCTGCTCCGTAATTGCTCTAAAAGCAGCCGCCCGCATAAGCTCAAGATAATGCTCTACCATGCTAATCTCATCGTGTCTACCTAGCCTAGTGTCGCATCCTCTCACGGCCCCGATGACAGTCGCTCGTTGCTCATCTGGATAGACCTCGAAGCAGAAACTCTCTCCGTCATCAGGAGTGTAGACATCTCTTGACATGGCTCACCACACTCGGTCCCTAAGTCCCGCGTTGAGGATTGGTCCCCAGTCCTTACCGTCGCAGAAACTAGCGGGCTTAGGTGAACTTGGGAATCTCTCAAACTCTCTAGGCAGGACACTCCAAGTCACTTTCTTCCCTCGTTGTCTCAACAATAGCCTTTCATCCAGAACATACTCAGTAGCAGCTATCCAACATGCTTTGTAATCGATCCCTCTCCTTGTCTCAGCAGATACATATCACCTCATATCATAGTCATCCGTATCAAGAAACCGAGCTACAAGGACGTACAGGATCACTGAGTCGTGCTCACAAGTCACACACCTCTCAATGACGTACGGGAAAGCGCCCCCATCCGTGATCCTTGTCAGCGCCTTTATCGCTTTCGTTACTGCTGACATTGATCACTTGCCAAGTTTGCCTCCTCAGCGATGCATTGATGATTGGCTGCCAGTTCCTACCATCACAGAATCCCTTAGGTACTGGGGGGGTAGGAATCTTCTCATAAATCCTAGGCAGTAAGCTCCAACTCGCTTCTATCCCTTGCTGTCTCAACTGATCCCACTCGGCTTTGACACACTCCACTATGACATCCCAGTTGGTAAAGGAACTTGAATCCCGATCAACCCCTTCTAGGATGTAGTGTCGAATATCATAATCATCAGTGTCAAGGAATCTAGAGACAAGCACATGCACAGTCGTCGTACTTTTTACACAAGTAATGCATTTGACAAACATATAAGGGAAAGCATCACCGCAGGTGACACGAGTTAGGGTTTCTAGGACATTATACTCTTCAGTCATCATCTGGGACTTGTCAAGCGAAGGGTCCAGAAAACAAATTTTAAACCCTTTGTTTGCAGGTCTGAGTCACTTCAGATAGACTTCTGCAAGAGGCCCCTCCTCTCGGGGCTCCTCTAGCCGAAAGTCCTTCTGACCTGAGCCAGACCTTGTACGAAATATGCTAGACTGCTGCCTAGTCACATAATATTGTGACCAAGGTCCGCTCCCAGGAACTCAAGATTTTTGAGTCCCCGGCAATGACGCCATTTTTGTCGCTCCCCCACTGCTTCAAGGGTCCGGTTAGTTGTCCTTCCCCGGACCGAGCTCAGTGGGTTGAAGGACTGGTAGGCTGTCACGCAGGATTTTGGTAGGTATAAAAATAGTGGTGTATTAAGAGTCTATCACACTTTGTCATACAGCCGAGTAGTCAGGGTTATCCATCCTGCCAGCGGTGACACGGCTTAGAGTGAGGCGTTCGGGTTTATCGCCTGCACCTGACCCCGTATAAACTCAAGGTCACCGGAGTCCCTATCATCTAGGAGGCCTTCAAGCTGCCTTGAGTATAGCCTGTATGTCACAAGTAGGAAAATAGCATACATTCATCATAGAATAATTGACACTAACAAAATGAGAAGACCAGAAACCAGACTCTGCAAGAGCATGACCAGAGAAATGAGACTGAAGAGTAGTACACAGTGTATGCAGGGAGCAGCCATCGGAGGGCTGTAGTCACTAATAAATGATAATGTTGTAATACATCATAGTGACTGAAGAGAGAGAACCTCAATCAATGATAATAAGCGGTACCCCCTCGTGTGAAAGTGCTGTCGTCTGGGACTCCGTATCAGGCGCCTCGTCATTGAGAACCCGCGTGGCTATAGACTCTGGAACCACATAGCTGATCTCGAGAGGCGCTGCTGGATCAATCTTGCAGATATAGGCCATGCATCTATCCATCTCCTCGTCTGCGACACTCCTAAGATAAAGCTCCTCCGCAAGAATGATATCGCCTGAAGATCCAATCAATATCTCAATATGTCCTCTCCCTCCAGAGTAGATGTAGGAAACCTCGAGAAAGCGATCTTCGTAAAGAGGTTTTCGATAAGCCTGCATAGCAAAGTTCGTCCCGACCAAATGACTATAGCCATCTCCGAGGTATGGAACCGGACCCTCCCCTCTTGGGGGACGAATAATTGTCTCAGACTTAGGGTCGACTGACATGTAGGAGTCAATCACCCTCAAGAAGATACCGTGCAAGAAAATGTGCTATCCTCCTCAATGTCGCCCTCCGACGTCTCCGCTCGCTGGTCTCCAGTGCTCCTATCGCTGTCCACAAACTCAACCTCTGTTAGTGTCCCAGTCGAAATAATCGCCAAGATCAAGGTCACTCACAGAACAGGGCTCCAAATCCGACTCATCTGTCTCTGATTTCGGGACACATGTAGTGATTGGGACTCCGGATCTGGTTCTCTCTCTATGGATCCGGTCGTCCTTCCGCCTCTTCTCCTTGCTGCGGGACTCACTAAGGGGCTTGGGGTTGCATCCGTCAAAATCGAAGAGCACACCCCCAGGAGCCGAAGGTACGCGAGGGAACACCACGTGTAGCCAGTTGTCCCTCCAATAGCTCTCCCTGCGGAATATGTAATCCGCAATCCTGTTGTATGTGGTGCCCTTCACTCCTGTCTCTGCCCCCTTCACCGAGTAGGTGATCACGAGCGTGTGTCTTGAAGTCGAGGTCTCATTAGCCTTGATAGTAAAACTCTGATGTCCCACATATCTGTAGCAGAACCTCTCAATCAATCTACCCCACTTAGGGGTAGTCTTACGACGTCGGGCCAGCTTGGATGGAATGGGCGCTCTCTAATGCAAATACTCCCTCCAAGACCTGACCAGATAGCAACTCAATGTGGAGGCCTGTCTGAATGGCCTGACTGCAACTCGATATAGGGCCCGCCTGAATGGGCCCGCTTGAATCAGCAACTCAATATAAAGCCCGCCTGAATGGGCCCGGCTGAACAACAACTATCTGAGAAGAAAAGGCCCGCCTGAAGGGGCTCTGAATCAGCAACTCAATCTCAAGTAGGCCCTCTTGAAGGGCCCGGCTGAACAGCAACAATCTCTAGTAGGCCCGCCTGAAGGGCCCAACTGAACAGCAACTGATCAGTAGAACATCTCATGCACAGGGACCAGTTGTAAATGCTGAATGTACTGGGGCTAAGCCGAGCCACGTCATCTGTGCAGGGACCGAACTGCCAATGCTCCCCGTGCGAGGGAAAATATCACGTGCATGCAGTAATGCTGATCAGCGAGGAAATAAAATCAACAGGGGCGTGATGGCAAATCATCCCAGCTAGCAATCCTATGCTTGGGCGTACATGGGCTCACACTCAAACGACAGTATCTAGCCTGGGCGCACGCATATCCAGCGCAAGTGCACATGGGCGCGCACTCAAATAACTATATATTGCCTGGGCACACATGGGCGCGCACTCAAATAGCGAAACTCAGCCTGGGCGCACATGGGCGCACACTCAAATAACAATATACAGCCTGGGCGCAAACGGGCGCGCACTCAAATAGCGAAATTCAGCCTGGGCGCACATGGGCGCACACTCAAATAGCGATATCGAGCTTGGGCGTGCATGGGCGCGCGCTCTAACTGCAATGCCAAGCTTGGGCGCACGTGGGCACGTGCTCTACTGCTATTCCAAGCTTGGGCGCGCACGGGTGCGCACTCTTACTGCTATTCCAAGCTTGGGCGCGCACAGGCGCGCGCTTTTACTACAATACCAAGCTTGGGCGCGCATGGGCGCGCACTCAAAAATAATATCTGGTCTGGGCACGCGCGAGCACGCACTTTAAAAATAATATATGGCCAGGGCGTGCGCGGGCGCGCACTTAAAAATAATATCTGGTCTGGGCGCACACTTTAAAAATAATATCTGGTCTGGGCGCGCACTTTAAAAATAATATCTGGCCTGGGCACGCGCGGGCACGTACTTAAAAATAATATCTGGTCTGGGC